TGACCGCGGCGGGGAAACCGGACCGCGCCGCGGAACGCGCTTTGCAAGTACCCTAAACCGAGCGGCACGGGCCTGGCTGCGGGCAGCGTTAGTGCTGCCAGCCCCTTCCAGGCCAGAACCACAGAGCGAACTCCGGCCAGCAAACGCCCCCTGGTAGCGCCCCGGGCGAGCGGCCCCTACCTAGCGAAATCACGGTGCTTGCCGTGCAGTGTCTGGTCGCCTTTCCGTCAAACCTCGCGTTGCCCATCACGGGACTCCACTCACCTGTGGCAAAGGGAGGATCCTCCGAATCCTTACCGGAGAGCGGCGTCGCTGCGGGCAGACCTGCAAGGCGGGAGGGGAACGTGGTGTGACCTTGCTGGGAGAGCTGGGTTTGCTCGGGAAAGCAGCAGCGGGGCTGGCCTCCGTGAGGTCACCAGCACAGCTCCGCATGGATGTAACTGCTGCCCCGTTTCGATGAGCACGGTGCTTTGATTCTCTCAGGCTAACACGTTTGAGGTGCATGGATAGAAAACACCCAGAACACCCATTGGACCTGCTCTCAGAGCAACAAGCCAGATTTTTATTCCTGATGTGTCACTCTGTGTGTGTTCTGCCAGCAGACATGCAAGAAGCATGTGGCACACGTGTCGTTGTCTCCCTCAGCCATCACCCCTGGGGTCTCTGGCAGCCCTGGCCAGCATGGTGCAGATCTAGGCACCAGGCTTGTGGCTGGCTACAGCATGACCAGGGAATGTTTTGGCTTCACCCTACATGAGGTTTCCACAGGACTTTCTCACTTCATCTCCGTTATGGTGATTCCCTGGCAACTGCACCCAAAGGCTCCCTGAAGCCCCACACCAGGTTTCTTGCCTCAGGTGACCGCCTGGTTTTTCTAGGTCCCTCTAGCTCTGGCTCTGCTGCTGTCCGGTGGGGCTCCAACCCAGCTACCCCCAGCTGAGCACCTGCGCCTGGGGGACACCAGTGGCTAGCACTGCTGGAGTCTCCCTCTCTGGAGACATTCAAAACCCACCTGGATGCATTGCTGTGTAACCTGTTTTAGGTGGCCCTGCCTTGGCAGAGGGGTTGGCCTAGATGATCTCCAGAGGTCCCTTCCAAACCTAATGATTCTGTGATTCTGTGACAGGGGGTATCATTTCTATCCCACCTGCAAAGAGGATCTGCAGCCCAAAAGGAGCATCAAGTGGATTTGTCTTGCTCACCTTCTCTGTCACTCACAGAGTGCCAGGGTGAAAGTGGCCCTTCCCCTGCAGCCTAGGTCACTTACCTGCAGTCACTGGCTGGGGTGTACTGCCTCGGGGGGTGAACAGGCGTCTGGTGTGTTGGCCTGTCCCAGGGCTGGGCTGCTGTGTGACTGGGGACCCTGCAGGAGACACTGGTCAACTGGCCATGTCCCCTGCTCTCTGTTAGCAGAACAAGTCAGGTAAGAGCAAGACATGCCACGGGTGGGAGCCAGACTCCTATCCTGCACAGTTCTGGTCCCAGAGGAACACAGGGGACATTGTCCTGATCCCTGCCATAATCAGGCACACTCTGAAGCAGGAAGGATATCAGTCTGTGGTTTCCACTCTGGGAAAGTGATTAGGACACAGTTAATATTTAGCATTACATGGCTGATCCTGCTATGAAAGAGGAAACTCCCAGTGTCAGTCTTCTGCAGTGAAGATGAGGAACTCTATCCTGGGGACTCACCTGTCACCATCAGCTCAACAGCATCGCTCTGCTGCACAGCCCCGGCCCCAACCCTGTTTTCCGCCTCGCAGTAGTACTTCCCGGTGTCGGAGGGCTGCAGGCTGTCCCACGCCAGCTCAGCCTGGCTGCTCAGGAGCAGGGCTTCCCCTCCTGGGGTGCCCCTGAACCAGCGGTAGCTGATGGGGGGGGACCCAGTGGCCACACAGGTCAGGCTGGTCCTGGCTCCTGCTGGGACTGTCAGCCCCAGCTCGCCGGCCCTGATGATGGGCTTGGTTGCTGCAACTGGAAGACAAAGCAGACGGTGTGAAAGGTTATTCTTACCAGCCCCTGCTTCACCTTCTGGCTCTGTGGATTAGACTGGCTACACAAGAGCAGGGCTTTACTGCTGGACTTACCTTTGGCAACTTTAACCATAGTGGTCATCTCCCTTGTGACCATGCTGTTATTTTTAGCCCTCCAGATGACTTGACAGGTGTAGTGTCCTCTGTCGGGGATTTCAAGGTTCTCAATTAGGAGTGAGACATCCCCTGGACTGTGCTTTGGGACACTGACTCGATTTCGGAACCGAGACAGCAGGACATGGTCACCGGAATTATCCCTCCGAAAGATGGTGGAGGTGCTCTGATCTCTCTCCATGCTCCAGATGAGCGTTTGTTGTGTGAAACCATCTGAGGGCATGTAGATACATGGTAAAGTGACAGATCCCATCCATGTGCCCTGGACCTGGTGGACACCAGTCAGATCCAGGAGGGCTGCAGGCAACAAGAGTTGAAGGGAAGAAGTAAGAATGCAGCAGAAGAGGAGAGTACCCTTTGGATTAGGTGGGAATCACCAGGCGTTGGAAGCTAGCACAAGGTCATGGCTGTAGACCACAGCCAGCTGAACCAGGGCCTGTCCCGACTTCACTGAGCATAGGGAAGTGAACAGTTGCTTTGACCTTACGGCTATTTTTATTGTTTCCCTCTGGATGCTTGCCCATTCTCAGTTCCTTCTCAGAGAGCAATTGAGAGCAATTCTGAGAAGCACAAATCCTGCCCCTGGTGGCAGCATCACACCTGCCGTCTTCACAAGACCTTAAGGAGCATCTCTTTATTCCTGCTCTCTAGTTTCAGCCTTTACATCTTGCTCCTGCTGCTTGGCTTTCTTCTTACACTTGCACATGATGAGTCAAAGAGCAAAAACTTCCCCCCACTGACATGGGATGGTCTGACAACACAACTTTCAATGCTGACTTCTACCTTCTATATGGAAGGAAGGATGAACAAAGCAACTTTACTGCTTTACTGCAGTTAACAATGAATGCAGCATGTTTGCATTCATTAACAGCACTAGTTCTTTATACAACTTCCGTGGTGCTCACAGGACCCAGCACTATAGCTGTGCAGGGAGAAGCACTTCTCTGTGCAACAGCCTGTCCCAGAGCTGACAGGAGCTGCCAGTTGGAGGAAGACAAGCACCTGTGGATCTGTATCCACGGGGACAGCCAAGTGAGTTGCTGGGGCTGAGCATGGTGGCACCTTGTTTCTGACATGGAGCTTTGGTATTCCTTTACCAGATGACTTAGAGAGGGCAGGCACAGCTCCATTCTTCAAATCTCACATCGTAGTAAAAGACAATTCCTTGATGTATCAGTTTTTAAAGATCTTCCAATTCTCCTCTTCCTCTTTTCACAAACTCCCATCAAGAAAAACTAAGAAAGGTGTAACCTGTTAGGAAAGCTGCTCAAAAATACCCTCAAGGTATTTGGGGCACTTGAGTTCAAATATGTTTGCTATTCTTTGTGTTCATCTGGACACAGTTCTGTTTAAACATCTCTCCACTGCTGTTTTGCATTGCTGTGTGCCATGAAAAAGCTGCCAGCATCCACTGATTCCCTGCGGAGCAGCTGCACTCTGTATATGACCAGTTTCAACATCAGCAGGGATGACTCCAAAGGAAAGCTGATTGGAAGGGAGAAACTCAGCAAAATAAAACCCCCTGAGACAGCACTTTTAAAAGAAGGTCCTCCCAGTGACACTTCTTAAGCTGGGATGTAGTCTTCAAGACAAACAATGTCAGTTCTCCCAACAGAAGGAAATAGACCTGGGCCATACAAAAACCTGAAGGGCTGTGTTAGAGATTATAAGGCCAATCAGAGAGATTTGTATTATCTGTAATGCACGATAATGGAAAAAACCCCAAACCCCTGAACTCATATTCTGGCCCATTTTCTAGAGTAACTGAGGACCTTCCTAGCCTGGTAGCATGGAAGTATCATGCAGGCAGGAGCCTTTAGGGATCTACTCTGAAGTACTGGACCTGGAACAGGAATGATGAACCAAACCCAATCTTTTTGCTTTAGCCTTAGAGAACTTCAGATCTGACCTAGATTACTTGGCTCACATCTGCTTCATCCAAACAAGCACCCTGCCAAGTACTCAAACAGACACAGGAAAAGAGGGGGTAAGTTTTGTGGTACCTGGCTCATTCTCCCAACCTTTCCAGCTGTCTACCCACTGAGACCACAGCTCCTCTGGGAATTGCTCTTTTTAAGCATCAAAGTACCTGAATTGAGTTGGACTTGGCTCACCTCTACCCATACCCTCTTGTCCCACTCCCCTTTTTCCCTGCTCCTCAGAAAGACACTGGTTATATTCAGCTTCATTAACTCAGAGTAAGTCACTTCAGAGGCAGATCCCAGAAATCTGCTAAGCTGTTTTTTTATGACAAAATGGGGAACACGCTTCAACCTCTTTTTCTTAATGTCAGGAGCAATTCCGTGCTTCTGTACACAACTTGCTAAAGCACCTTTCTCCTGTTTCCCAAAATCTTCCTCTGCCAGTGTCAGTGCCATATATGCCTCATGTGCATAGGATTCAAAGCAAAGATTCCAGTATCACCTTTGAGTCTAATGCACTTAAAGAGTCAGAAGATCAGGAGATGATCAGAGAGGTATCATGTGTGTGCCCACACCTAGTATCACAGTTACAGCTCTTCTTCCCAGGATCATGCTAGCAGAACAATAGTAATGAATTATTAAATTATAGGAGAATACATATTCCAGCTTCCAAAAGACTGCTTTGGAAGCTGACACACCAGAGCAGGTCCTCTCCAAGAGTCCTGAGCAATCCTGTTTTGTTCTTCCTTTGGGACATGGGAGCTGTACCCAATACTGCCCCATTGGTCTACTCTTAAAAGCACCTTCTTGTATCTGATACCAAAGGACACTCTTGTGAATTCTCAGGCTCTGTTTTTCACACAAGAAACTAACAACTTCCCACAGTTGATCATTTTTAAAAATTGAGACATTGTAACTCAAAAGATCTTCCCTATCCTGTTAGTGCTCTGATTTTTGTTCTTACACATTGAAGCATGTACTCACCGTTGCAGGTGACGAAAGCCATCACAAACACCACTATTTGCACAGCTTCTCCCATTCTCCCAGAACCACAGGTCTGTCCACCTTTCCTTGCACTTTGTGAGAGACCCCACACTCCTGGGACAGAATGCAAGTGAAGAACACTTCCCTTTCTTCTGCCCTTTGTCATCTAGGATCCTCTTTCTGAAGTATCACGAGTCCATTTCACTGCTGACTTGGGTGAAGGGTAGAGGATAGACAAAGACTATAAGGACCTTTCCAGTTCCATTTCATATTCCCCTGTCCCCATCCACTTCTCTTACCATTTTTCCTATTTTCCTGACTAGTGGTCTTTATAGAATCATGAAATGGTTTTGGGTTGGAAAGGACCTTAAAGGTCCTCTAATTACAAACCCCTACCATGATCAGGGACACCTTTCACTAGATCAGCTTGCTCAAAGCCCCATTCAGCCTGGGCTTGAACTCTTTCAGAGATGGGGTATCCACAGCTTCTTTGGGCAACATGACTATTAGCAGATGAACTTTAATCCAGGAGACATTCTGGGTGTGCTCTGTAGGTGTACCTTTAAAGGTACATGAAAAAGTTATCAATACGTGTTATGTGCAGGATTAGTATGTGTCTGATGATTATTACCAAAAAGAGAAGGAATTACAGAAGATAAGAAACATGTATTAAAGCAAATATACTGATGCAGTGAATTCTGTTACAGGCTTTTAATCATTTGCTAAAGCAGATGTTTGGCATTTATTCAATAGATGTGCTTTAGCATATAATTTTAGCAACTGCACCAGAAGAATATTATCTTTGAGCAGGAGGCAGATGCATCCAAAATACAGGACACATTTTTGGTTGGAGCTGGGAGGGAAAGGTAATTGGTGCAGTTTTGCCACAGCTGCATCCCATCATGACAGATACCTCTTTGCTTTAGCTGAAGTGTTTACGTTGCAGCTGAGCTCAGACCATTCTCTGGAAGTGCTGCGATTTGTCAGCGATGGCTTTTTCCCTCTCTGAAGAGGGCAATGAAAACCGGAGACTATCTTCATTTGCCAAAAGTCAGTAAACTGATGAGAACTGTGCAGGTCTCGTTTCGGTGTTTGGGTGGAGGCATGCACACACTTGGGTGGCTTGCTGAATGTGATTTCAGCTGAGCTCTCTTATTGCTGCTGTAAAACTTGCCTCTGGCAAGTATGGACAGCCTGGAGCAAAAAGCTGAATGTCACGTGGTAAGACCTGGTGCAACAAACTCATGTTGGGTTCCAGGCTAAGAGCTACCACCAGTTGTCATCCTGCTGAGGAAGACAATGAAGGCAGCAGCACAACCCTTCTTGCAGAGCATGTCCTTGCTGGTATGGTGGAAACTTGATTTTTGCTGCCTTTTCTTCTTGGCTTTTTTGTTGAAGCTACTGGTGTGGTACCTGTTCATACTGTCTGTACCCCATCTGCCACCAAGAAGCCAATAGCTATATTCGAGTCCTGCCTAAAAGCAAATGAACAAAAAAGCACTTGTTAAAACTGAAGCGATGTCACTGAAAGAGTGAATGGGTCCATTTTCAGAGAGATGATATAAAACCAACCTTTTACGCACCCCGGCCATGACTGGTGATAGAAGCTTGTCCCAACAAACTACTTCTCCTACACAAAAGAAGCTGAATTTTGGGGAACATGCCCTGGAACAAGCTGAAAACCCAAGCTGAAACTGCTGATATGACTACTTTCTGAACCGGACATGCAAGGCTTCCTGAAGCGGTAAGTCTACAGGATTAAAAAAATGACTATTTAGCTAAAAGAAACATGAAGAATTCTAGTTCCTCAAACATGATGTACATGACGTCTTTCTCTCCCTAGTACAGAGATGTGGCTGCTAGTTTTTTCAGCCCATTTCTTTCTTAACAGAGGGGCTCCTCATGGTTTTTCATCAGAACATGTGAAGAAAAAGCCTTTAATGTCTCAGATACTATGGTTAGTTACCTGGTTTATCATAATAAAGTATGTCTCGGCTTTGGGTTGAATGTACTGCTTTCTCGCTGTAGCCCTTCCTCCTGCAGGACCCCACCTTTCTTCCACAATACTGGACATGACACACTTCCGAGCATCGCAACTTGGGCGAAGTGACCAGTATGACTCGTTGTTCTGCAATTTCTGCTGCTGCATCTCAGGCTAATTAAAGGCAACACAGTAAAGTCCCCATTTCCCCAAAAATGAGCACAGATGGGACTGCAGATAGTACTCTTAGGCACCAGCTCTGCAGAGCCTGCATCTTATGTTCATGTTTTGACAAAGTATGCCAGAGGCTAGAGGAGTTTGCTACAGTTTTCCTGGTGATGAGACTTGTAGCCTGCAATGGGGTGAAATCCAGTACCAGGCTTTGAGCAAACCACCACAGTGTAAGTAACTGAAGAAGAAAGGCCTCAAAATCCTCTTTTTGAACCATCTGCACTCAGGGGAAAAATAAAAACAAACCCCAAAAAAACCACAACAGGCAATTTTTACTGCAAGTCTTGAGACATTCTTATTTGGTCCAGCCATGGCCAGCTCACAGGCCTGATTAAACAGAAGAGGGAAGAACTCATGATGCCGGTTGTGTTGCTGTTTTGTTCATACAGAGCGCAGCTCTCTCCTGAAAAGCCAAATCTACTGGTCTGGATGGCTGTACCCACCCCAGCACTTACAGAAAGGACAAACTCTTCTCCTCATTCCTCAAGCAGCACGTCACATGTACCTCTCTGCTCAGATGTTCGCCCTGTTTGGACTTTGGAGCTCTGCTTATTGTTGCCATAAAACTTGCGGCAGCAGGTTCTTTTCTGCTTCCCAGTTGCTCTGTGTAGCACTGAAGCCTCATATTCCCATTGCGGTAAGTTTGTTTCTGGGATGGAGCTCAAGACGGGTGGGCTGCTTTCCAGTAACAAGGACATTCCCTTCCCAACCTCTCCCTACCAAACACATGCACACAAACACAGTTTTAAAACCCCCTTTTTAAAGAATGAGACCATTACTGCAGGGCACCAAAAACTGCAACCTCATCTAGAACTGAGAGATTATGAAAACATTCGTTTCCCAGAACATTTCAACACTGTTTTTTTGTCATCACACTAACACACTATCCAGTCATGATTTATCCGTTGCTCTCTGAAAAACCCTTTAGTGATAATTGTGTGCCTTGTAGTACTATTGCAGAGTGCTCACCTTCCTCCTTAGGAAGAAAGACTGTCAGACTTCAATGTCTTTTTATACTCTTCATAACAGAAATTGTTTTCTTTCACATCCAAAAGTCTCATTGGCTCTGAACCTCAAATAGGACTAGCAGCAACTCTTGTACCTTCCATTTCCTAAACTGTGGCTGATTACAGCCTGCAATCACCATCTAACACACCATCCAACACACCATCCAAAACATTCCCCAAACTGCAGCAGATTCACAATAATTCCTCTGCTTTCAAATTATGTTCCTAAGAGCATAATTCCTGAGCACTCACAGATGTTCATGCACACTCACTCTTCCTGGCAAAATAAAGTAGTATAACAAAATCTACTAACTTTACAGTCCTGAAGTTTAATGGTTTTCATTTGCTTCTCCACATCTACAATAAGCTGTATGTACATCTTGACAACTTTTTTCCAAGACATCATCACCAACAAAAGCTGCTGTTTGTTCACTTTCCATTTTGAAATCAAGGTTTCCTAGCCCTTGTTTTTTAAGCACATTCTTAAAGAGAAGTAAAACTGGTACAGGAAATTCAGGGAGAAAAATACAAAGTCACTCATAAGTACCTGTAAAGTGTGCCTTGTGGTTTGTGAATTTTGGTGAACTTCTATGTCAGTCCATCCTCTAATTTCTCAGTGGACCTCTGTGTACTTTGACTTTTCACAGGACTGGATGAGTAGCATTTTGTCCCACACTTCTGTATTGTGTAAAAGTACTTTTCCTCTTCCTTTAAAAAGTGCTACTAGATAATTTTAGCCAACATTTCCTTCCTTTTATCTTTGGGGAAACCAGAAACAAATACTCTCTATTCATCTTCTCCACACAGGTCATGATGAGTAAGCTTTGCTCATTTTGCCTCATTCTTCTCTTTTTTCCAAGTTGAAAAAGTGCAACACATTTGCACAGAAGTGGTTTCATGCCACTAATCATCATTAATTATCATTCTCAGTAACTTTTCTAGCTCTGTTAAACCCTTTCAAGACAAGAGACCTATACACATGCATAAGGTGGAAGCATTCCATGAGTTTTTACGTTATCACAGTCCTGTTTTCTATTGTGTTGTAATGCTTTTCCTAATAGCACTCGGTACTTTCTTGGACTGCTGGTGAATTTTGAGCTGATGCTTGCAGGGAGTTGCAGATGCAGATGTTTCCCAAGTGTGAACAGCAAATCTGGGGGCCCGTTAATCCTGTATCCAGGGTAGAGCGTTATCGCCAGTATCACCCTTACCCTTCAGGTTGCTCCTTTTGTTTTACATCCATCTGCATGGCTTTTAATCTGATGTGGTATTGCCCAATTACTATAAAAGGTTCTCTCATAAATCTGCTGCATCCATGTTATAGATTTACTCAGATTAGTAGAAATTATGAACAACTAAACTTTTCAGCTCCCTACTTGCCCTTTCTTTCCTAAGCCAGGAGAAAAGTACTTCATGAGCATTTATTGAGGAGCTGCAGTTGTGAGTGCTCGCTGACATTTTAAAGATGAGCCTGTCAGAGAAAAATATTCATATCAAAATACTTTAGGCATGTGTAAACAGTCCTACTCACAAACTTAGGAAAAGCATCTAATTTCTTTTGGATATTAAACATCCATTAAAAGAGAGACTCGAGAAGATGGGCTCAGGATGTACCTTTTGCAGTATCAGAATCGCCCAAGCTGTTCAGTGCCAAAGCTATAGAAAGTGTGCCTGCATTTTACTGCAGATGATGCAGAAAGGTGAATTGAGCACAGAACAGTGCTTTTTGTACTCCTAGGGTGGTTGGGTTCTTGGTTTTATCCTGTCCTTAATCTGTCTTTCAGTGTTTCTTTAAGAGCTATCTCACACTTAAGACATTCTACCATCCATGCAACACTCAGGCAGGTGGGAGAAGAAATGCCAGTCCCCAGGCCAGTCTCATTCTCTCATTGTGCACTTCTTACCCAAAGATGATGGGGATGTTGAGCTGCTCTTGGTGCTGGTTCTACTCCTACCACATGAAGGCTGTAAATGCAGATCCTTTTTGTATTGCAAAGCACTGAGTTTAGTCCAGTGCTCTTGACCTGGGATCTGCATACCCTGTCTTTCAATGGGCTTTCTTCTACAGAGGTGGTAGAAAGGAAACAAAAAAGGCAAAATCAAAAGATCTGTACAGCAGTTTGTAACTGAAGTTCCCGAAGAGCTTTGCGTTTTCATTACAGAAATTGTTAAGGCTCCACAAGTCATGAAGGAGCAAAAACTGCTTGTCCAACCTATTTTTTCAGAGGGCAAGGTGAACAGGAAGATATGTTTTGCCTGGATGAAAGTGCTCTTCAGGACTGCTTACATGTAGCAATAAGTTGGTTCTCACGCAGTGTCCCCTACTTCATATTCAGATTCCATGGTGTTTCCAGCACAGTCATAGTCATTCTTTTTCATACTTATTTCTTCAGATCTTTTGTCTTTCACAGGCTCCACCACATAGTTGTTCTCAGTGGAGGAGATGGGTTCCTCATAAACTGTACTTTCACACCTTGAAGCAGCTGCTGCTCTCAAGTTATGGCTGAAATCAAAACATAGTATGAAAGAAGAGTTGCAACCAAAGTAGTTGAAGCATTTCCCCACCCCCAAGATTTTGGCTGAGGAACTGAATGCAGCCCACATCCACCATGTGGCTTACGATATCTAATATCTTTAAAACAGAGGTAAATCCTCTGAGGAAAAATGCCATCACACCATGTGTTCAGTTGCTCAGGGTTCGACTGCTACTTAAAATGCTGGGGAAGCACAGCACTCGGGTGAACAGTGCTGGCATGTTCTACCATGGCACTCAAGTCATCAGCACTTTGATTTATATCTACATAAGTGGTTCTCCTTGCATGTTTTAACTGAATTATTAAGCTTCTCAGTACAGCTTCCATGGGTTACAAGCAGATCAGGATGTTGAAACCCGAGTTTAGAAATAGCTATAACTTCCTGCCAAAGCTGCAACTAAAAGAGGCAGGTTCAGCCAAGGATATTTCAAGGATAAATCAAAGTCTAATCCGTGCATCAGGAGCCTTAGCTCTCTAAGAAGGGGAATTCCTGTTATTTGCTTTTGGAAAAACACTGGGGATTCATCATTGGCAGTGATCTTCAATAGGCCTCATCTGGCTGGATGAAGAGTTAATAAACAGCTGTTGCTCATTTTTATGATCCTAATATTGCAAAGGAAAAGATCTTTCTTCCTATATTATTTGCTGATGTGAAAAGTCCACAGATCATCTGTACAGTGTACTACTAACATTGAACGTCTTAATCCGTATTGCTTAAGAGGCTTTTCATCTTGACAGCTAACCAGCACCTTTTTTTTATTTCCCCTTCTCTGATACAGTCCCCAAAGTCTCACCAATATGTCAGATAAAGGGTTATACTCACAATTGTACTTCATAGGTCTGAGCTGGAAAAGAATAATCAGAAATGTGTGTCAATAATTTGCATTTATAGTCTCGAAAATAAATTCTACTATGTCTTTTCTTGGTATAAGAAAGCAACTTCTGAAGACAGAATAAAAATAGGAACCTTAGTGCTAGGTGGGTGATGACTCCTATTCCCAGGATCCAGTCCAAGAAAACGAAAACAACCCATATCCCAGCTGTAGCACAACTGAGTCACAACAACCGGCCCAGCGTTAAAGTTTAGAAACTGAAAGTTTCCAGTTCCCACAGTTTCGCTATTAGAATTGCTCAGTAAAGAACAATTTAGGAAGAGGTTATTCTAGATTCCTTAAAAAAGAAAAAAAGGCAAAAAAAGTATGTGATAATAATGATTATTAATTGGTAGCATGGAGTTGTAGAAAGGTAATTAAAGACACAAAGGGATAAGTAGAAAAATATGGCCATCAGTATTAAAAAATCCCAAACCAAAACCTCAGTGTGTCCTCTGTACACTGCTAGTGCTTCAGCGAGCAAGGGGACTCTCAGCATTTCTGTGCTAGTATTAGCACAGAAAAGACAGAATCATTCAGTAAATATGTTCTACATCTGAAGACTAGAAAGGAAATGAATTCTTACTGAATACGGAGAATTAATGATGAGATCTTTTCCTCCAGGTACTAAGGGAAATAAATACTGAACAGCAGCTGGTGCAAACAGGTATTTTAAAGTAGCAGGACAAGCTTAACTTGCTACTGGATACCTTGAAAGATCTGATCGCCAAACTCAGTTTAGCAGGTTGGTTTGAGAGTCATGGGATGTCTGTGGGGACCAGAGAGAAGGAACCATCCCAAAGTAATCAAGGCAGAGGGCAGCATGACAGAGAAGATGAACACTGCAGGATGGCCCAGAGAAGCAGAGACTGAGATCCCCCTCAGAACCAGTATGGCATGAGCATGGCAGAGGCTGCTTCATCACCATGACAGCCCTTTCTGCAGCTCCCAGCGGTTTGGGAGCACCAGGGTGATGCTGCTCACTGGGCTCCTCTCCAGCTGCAGCAACTGGATTTCCCTGAGGACAAGGGGCTTCTCCACCTCTTTAGAACTTCCACCCCCCATTTTGATCCATGCACAATGTGATCAACTACCTGTATGATGCAGATGCCAGAGCTGCTACTGGAAGCTGTGAGCACAGTACCAGTCCCAGCCCAAAAAAGTGCTTAAAGGTAAAACCAAGCTGGGCAGGCACAATACATTGAAGTTTTCCAGAACATTCTACTCACCATCTTTGGGCTTTCTAATGCGAATGATAAGAAAGATGACAAGCAAAACCGCAGCAGCACACACCACCACAATCAGGATGACCAGGAACAGGGACAGGTGAGTTGTCTGCACATCTAGAACAATACAGCAAAAGACTTTCAAACTGAGAAGCCCTCCTGGGTCGTGGTAGCAGAAGCAGTTACATGATGCTAACCACTTCCCCAAGGCCAACAGCAGCCAGCCCTGTCATGGGGCTTGTCCCCATCCTGACAGCACCTTGCTCCCGTGGCTCTGAATAAGTGTGGCTGAGCCAGCCCGACTCACTGTGCATGCATCTCCCAGAGACTGTGGGCATACAGCCAGCCAAAAGAGGCTCACCAGGGCTGTGAGTTGGGCAGAATAGTTGCTCTATATGTCATGAAATAAAAGGTTTCAGCTTTTCATTCAAGCATATTGTTCAGTTGTATTTGGAATGTGTTTAAGCCTGCCATGTCATAGCAAAGTTGAGGAGGTATAGCAAATATGCTTGAGTTGCACACTGAGGCTTTTCTGCTGTTCCAGCTTTGACACTCAAAGGAAAGATTGAAATGACTACTGTTAGGGAGCACAGCAACAACTCTGTTTGCTCCAACTATAAAAGCTCCAGCCCCTCCCTTAAAAACACCCAGAGTCTTTGAAGGAGTCACCCTAAAACACCTAGATCCCTTGAGAACAGCTGTTAATACAATTTGCAGCCAAAAGGCAAACCACTAATTTTGAGGCTTGAGGTACAGACTATGCTTGGCCTGTTCGGGTCCCTAATCTCATTCTTAGCTTTGTTTTGCTCTCCACTTACTTTGAGCTGTATAATTCTTTTCTGGATATCCCACATCATTCTCGAAAGTCACTACTGTAACGGGAGGATCTGCAAAACAAACAGGAGCAAAGGCTCACAGTGTATCTCCAATCCTAATTTTAGCACCAGAAGACCTGGGATTATTGTTAGAGGATCCAAAAGAGAATGTCTCCATCACCTTTACAAGGCTGTGAAAACAGGCAAACTCTAGAAATGAGTACAATATATACACTGTCATATAGAGAGAGTATATACAGTACTACTATACTCACTGGATGGATACTACGTACACTATATATACTATGTATACGCAAACTATATATATATTGGATATACACACATACATATATGTATGTCTATATACATATACGTCATGTAATAGTAGTGGAGTCTAAGAGATTACTGAGGTACCTCTGATCACCAGTTCTGTTTGGTTTTTTTCTGCAAGAATAGTCAGCAGCTGTCAACATCTTCCCTTAGCTTCTGGTCACTGTTGTGTAACTGGTGGGGCGTTATAAATTCAAATGAAACATAACCCCATGTTGTGGTTTAAGCCCAGCCGGTAACTGGGAACCACGCAGCCGCTCATTCACTCCCCCACTTTTTCTTCCCCCCGCTCCCAGAGGGATGGGGAGGAGAATCAGAGGAATGTAACTCCCACGGGTTGAGATAACAGCTCTCCAGTAACTAAGGTATAATACAAACCACTACTGCTACCAATAATAATGATAAGGGAAATAACGAGGGGAGAGGATACAACCACTCCCCCCCCGCCGACCGATACCCAGCCCGACCCGAGCAGCGATCTGGGCCTTCCGGGTGACTCCCCCCAGTTTCTATACTGGGCATGATGTGCTGTGGTATGGAATACCCCTTTGGCCAGTTTGGGGCAGTGTCCTGTCTTCGCTTCCTCCCGGCTTCCCCTCCTCCCTGGCAGAGCATGAGACTGAGAAAGTCCTTGGTTTGAGTAAAGATTACTGAGCAACAACAAAAGCCATCGGTGTTATCAGCGTTGTTCCCAGGCTGAAAGTCAAAAACACAGCACTGCCCCAGCTACTAAGAAGGAGAAAAATGACTGCTGTAGCTGAACCCAGGACACCCCAAAACACAAAGTTTCCCCAAGCAGACCTACTCTAGACCAGGTCTGAATTCCCACATCCCACAAAACCAAACTGGGAATCACCAGCCCTCCCCTCGAAACAACTGCCCTTGGTAAGGTAGATTGTTCCCAGTCAGGTCTGAAGCAGCTTTTGCATCACTTGGATTTGCCACTAGAGATACAAGCTCTGCCTCCCACTGCAGCAGCTTTTACTCAAGACTAGAAAACAAGTAAAAAAGCCCTTTGAAAAAAGAACAGAACCCAGAATATCCTGTATAGTCTAAAAGATGGGAAGTGATATTTCTACCTGTACTAAGACACATACAGAGTCTCTTTTGCAGAGACACAACCTCCCACACTTCAGAAAAGAGAAGTTCCTTCGAAGAGGAGGGGGGAAATCAAATAAAGGAAATAAACAAGGATAGAAACCAGAGCCAATGATAAGTGCTTCAGAGCACGGAAGGATGAGGCTTTTTGTACTTTCTTCTTTCAGGGAATGGAAGCAGGAACATTGTTCCATTCCAGAAGGAATACAGATGTTTTCCATCCAGCTGTGGCTCTGGGGACTCACCTGTCACCATCAGCTCAACAGCATCGCTCTGCTGCACAGCCCCGGCCCCAACCCTGTTTTCCGCCTCGCAGTAGTACTTCCCGGTGTCGGAGGGCTGCAGGCTGTCCCACGCCAGCTCAGCCTGGCTGCTCAGGAGCAGGGCTTCCCCTCCTGGGGTGCCCCTGAACCAGCGGTAGCTGATGGGGGGGGACCCAGTGGCCACACAGGTCAGGCTGGTCCTGGCTCCTGCTGGGACTGTCAGCCCCAGCTCGCCGGCCCTGATGATGGGCTTGGTTGCTGCAACTGGAAGACAAAGCAGATGGTGCCCAGGTCATGCTGGTCCTAGTTGTGGTGGGGAAGGTCCCCCTTGTCATGATAGTTCTTGCTCTGGCTTTGGGTGCTTTCCCAGGAGGAAGAGAGGCATGGGTCTCACGTCACCTCTCTGCACAGGTTAAGCTTGGCTTAGCTGTGCCTGTACCAGCTACATTACCCATTGCATCTCCTACACAAATGGTGTTGATGACATCTCCATCACTCTATAAATCACCACTGCGCAGGCAAAGGGAGATCAGACACATGAAGTCTAGTCAAAGAAAAGCAATGCAATATTCCAGGGAGTTCTCCTTTGGTGCATATCCCTTGGAAGCATTGAGCCATCGGATACAGGTAGAGCTGGGGCAAATTCATAAGGAAGAAGCTACAAATCCTCCTCCAGCCCCCAAAACTCAGGGTGTCATATTGTGGGCAAAATTTCTCTCTCTGACCTATTTGCTGGTTCTTGCCAGACTCTAACACCGCTCAGCAAAATGCTCCTGCATCAGAAGCAAGTGGTCGCTGCCTACGTGGTCTAAGTCAGTTCCTAACAGACTTCTTGAGCCAAGCTTTCCACTCCTGCACAGCTTCCTCCTTGAATTTACCTTTAACAATCTCCAGTTCAGTGGTGATCTCTCTTACTACCAGGCTGCTATTGCTGTCCCTCCAGGTGACCTGGCAAATGTAGGTTCCCTTGTCAGACATCTCCAGGTTCAGGATTTGGAGAGACACATTCCCTGGTACGTCCTTCAGGACGCTGACCCTGTCCCTGTACTCAGACAGGAGAACATGGTCGCCAGAGTCATCCCTCCGAAAGATGGTGACAGAGCTCTGGTGACGGACCACCATCCACTTGAGTATTTGTTGTACAAAGTCCTTCACAGGCACATAGGCACATGGCAAGGTGGTAGATTCCTTCCATACACCTTCAATCTTATGGTGGCCAGTCAGGTTCAGAAAAGCTGCAGAAAGAATGGAGAAAGAACATTTTAAGAGAAAAAGCAATCAACATGAAGGCAGCTCCTGGGTGATGAAGCAGCAATGAGAGCATCAGCAAGTGGAACCCTCCAAATCAAAAGGATGGGCAGCCAGTGTAGATGATGGGTTAACAGAAAGCAGCATGGCATGAGGAAGGCAGAGGCATGCCAGACGTGGTTTGGCTCTCATACTCTGCCTGGTGCCTATCTGCAAGCAAGCGAACACCTGCAAGCAAGTGAACAGGATCAGAATTAGCAGAAGACTTGGACCTGAAGGAAGGTGCTTGTCTCAAGCCGCAGTTGCCCAGCTCAAGGTCACAGCTGGCGTCTGCACCCACCACCCAACGTCACTCTTGGGGCTTTCCTGGGAAGCACCATACGTTAACAGTAACCCACAGCTTTTATGGCTTTTCCTCCTCCACTGTGCATTTATTCTCCTAAAAGACACTGCTTTTTCAGACTGAATTTAAGCAACTTAGGAAAAGGCTCAACGAAGACTAAAACTCACTAAATTTTACTGTAAGAATGAGGCCTGTTGCCTTTGTTCCAGTACATTTTTGTCACTCTCTGGGCTGAACCTGTGCTTCTTTACCCTTTTCTCCTGGTTTCTGAACCTCCCCTTTCCTGGGAACAAGCACTACCCAGACCCTTTGTGCTGAGCTGCTTGCTATGCTCTGGGAAATAACCATCACAACATATATGGCATCTGTGTACTCTAAGTACACAGGCAGCGTTTCCAAAGCCATCACACAGCACTGCACCCTGCAGCCACTGGATTTGAAACAAGCGAACACCAAGCCAGCAGTATGCAAAGATGTCGGCTTTGTTTCCATATTTCTATTCCCCAAACAGAACCATCCCTGCACAAACACACGCAGACACACCAGTGCCAGGGAAGGAGCATCCTGAGCAGGAGACCTTTCTGTAGACTCACCATTACAGAAGAGAAGAGGACTCATAAGCACGGCTGCTCTCACCAACATTTCCATCCCTCCCTGGGCAGCAGCTTCTCCCCCTCAAGTAGAACAGAGCTGCTCTCTCCAAGCCAGGGGGTAAATCAAGAACACTTCCCTGCCTTTGCTCACTTTGTCATCAAGAACCCAGGGCAGCTGTTGATGGTTTTTCCTTCCTCTTTTTCAGAGAAAAAAAAGTGCATCTCAGTGGTGACCTTTAGAGGTGTGAACAGAACAGAAGTCCTAAGGGAGGGAGGAAAGAGGAAAGTCGAAGAGTTACTTCTATTTCATATTTCCTGCTGAGTATGCTTTCTTCTCCTTCTGTTTTTTAATTCCACTTAAAAAGAGTTTCATGTTTCTTCCCTTTTTCTCCTTGCTTTGATTTCTAAATAATAAGCTTTAACATGCATGTTACCAACAACGAGAGTACGTGAGAGAGCACCCTTAAGGAACTAAACAACCAAGGACCTTACAACTCATTTTCTTACCAGCTTTTCTGCTAAGGTCAGCACTATGCTTTAAATCAAGATTCATGAAACAGCCTAAATCTTTACATTACCAGCTGTATGTCCCTTCCAACTGAATCATTCTTTTCCTTATCATTATATTCCATTTACAGGGTGGGGAATTGAAGTATACAAATCCAAACCAAATAAATTGCAAGAGCTGCAGGCACCTGGCTTGACCACCCCACTCTATGTGACAGATTGAACTGCCTTTCTCACAGCTATTTAGTTGCTTGATTGAATTGATTAATTGCATTCAACTAAAAACCTGGATTAGGGCCACCTGCATTTCCCTGTAGACTACTTTGGAAACAGGTAAACAGTTATATGCCTAGACAGGAAAAAAAAAGGAACTTATTAAAGTAGAAAATCTTTGAGACTACGCAATCATGACTTTTTAACTGCAATGAGATGTGTTATTATTAATTCAAAGTAATATTAGTTGTAGTTAATCTGTATTAAGTAATTGAGCACTAGACCTGGCCAGAAGTATCTGTTCTCTACTGAAACGTTATCTTCAAGAGATTTTACATGCCTTATGCTGTCTTCTGCAGCTCCTATTTTCTCTTACACTCTAATGACAGAAATCTCTGCTGCTTCATTGTATTCAGCCAAATTGATATAAGCACTTTGCTATTGTTACATCCAAATTCAATATCCAATCCTCAAAGTGCAAGTACCCAGAACAACTAAGTGCAGTCAGCAAAATCCTAGACCATATTCTAAAGTACAACCCTCTTTTAATGATAGTGGGACCACGTTTGCACCCGTAGCAGCACAGTACAGGGTAACAGAGCAATCAATGTTGTGTACCTGATTCTGAAGTAGTGGTGGTGTGGGGAAAAAGTATTTCTTGCATGGCTTTGTATGGCTTAAAGACAGCTCCACCTACGTTGTCAATGTAGGCAGCTTCGTTAGGTTGTCCTGTAATTAACATTAAAAACAGGAGATTTGTGTATGCAGTCCTGGGAGCTCTCGTATTATCTTGTTCCTTTTCTTTCAAGGTCTTTCCTTTCATTGAAGTTTCTTACTTTTACATATATTCTTACCTTGGAGTAATTGATAGTTCATTCTGCAAAAAAGGAGTGCTTAGAAATATATATGCATATAGAATTGTGTGTGTGTGGGTTTGACTACTTGTTATTAACATTGATCTAATGCTGACAATGTTATGTGTATGAGGTTTAATTTGGTTCTTATCAGGTTATAGCATTTTGATCTCTGTTTCCCTGAAGCTGGTGATTTTACTACATGCAATTTTCATGCCTTTATTTGGTCAGAAAATCTTTATATCCTTGGTGTTGTTGATCAGTCACAGCCTAAAGGATCATCCGTTTCATTAATTTCTTTCCATTGACCATATTTGCAGTTATAAGTATAATTAGAAGACATTTAACCAGTTTGAGGTCTAAATGCTTCTGAAAATACCCAACTTGATAAAGCAGAGAAAAAGGTTCAACAGAGATTCAGGTGATTTTGGGACCTGATTTCACATGCTCCTCCCTTGTGCCCTGTATTCCTCCCTGTTCTGCTGACACGCAGGGTACGCCACAAAATGACCACACACTAGCTGTGTAATATGTACAGTTTATTAAACAAGCACGCTAATGCAGATTGGGTATATATCTCTATATATACAGTAAATAAGCGCAATGAAGCAAATCAGAGATCTATATATAGAGAATAACTATAGAGGAAAATTAGCAATGTATCAAATCATTAAGAAGAAATACATCATCAAATAAATCATCATTCAGACCCACACTTCAAGCTGGGAAGCCCCGTTGCAGCCAGTGCAGGAGTCTCAGGTAGTTGGGAAAATTCCTATGCATTGTGTCCACCCACAGGTGAGGCTTTGGTTTTGGCCACAAGATGGTCCTGCTTTTATACCCTTAAAAAACCAACTGGCTTTTTGCCAGATCTGTACTTATTTGCTAGTGGGGCCATGCGCTTTCTAATGATTTCACTTTTGTTCACGCTGAGAACGTCGTCCAGGCACCCTGGTGCAGCCACGTATGAAGGTCATAGAACAGCTGCACATCTGTTTTCCTGCCTCTTTTCAACAGTCGTGATGAACATAAACATATACACTCTACTGAATACACTTTAACCAAAACCCCCCATTCTTTGTTATTTCTCAGTCATGAGAGGGGATCAACTCTCAGCTGGGTTCCCATCCATTACATTCCCTCAGAAATTTTCCATGACATGCAACTCCGATCTGCAGTCGCTGGGATGGGGAGAAGCAGGAAAAGCTTGCGTGGGTCACAGTGTTCACATACTTCTTGGCTCAAAAAAGGATGAGAAAATAACACGTTAAGTTCAAATTAGCGAAACTCCTTTCTGGAGAATATGGCTGGCTGGACAGGAGGGCAGAAGCTTCAACTGACTCAGACTATGTCATAAGATAACCTAACTTTAGCAGGGTATGTACCAACCAGGAAGCTAAAACTCAAACTGCTGACAAAACCAGGATGTGTAGATGTTTATATATTTATTTATACATTTCTATTTACATTTACCTGTTTGGCTGGGGGGACAGTGGCAGGAAGGATTTCTTGTCCTTTATATGATGCAGGTACAGACACCTGTATGCTAAGATGATCCTTGGTAGTAATCTTTTGCTTCTGCTTTGGGAAACTAGGATAACAGATACTACTTTTCAAAACAGCAATCTTGTTTTAGGAGACAGCAAAATATTTTGAGCAGGGACGGGATGAGGCAGCATCATACAGTCCAGGAGAGACAGATCTTGTGTTCTGGGAAGCTCTGTGTTAACAAGCACACAGCAATATGAGATAAAAAATGGATGGCTTGTCTGACATGGTCTGTGTGGGGAGGGCTAGTCTGGAACAGTGTGAAAAATAATTATGAAAGGAGCATCTGAGGGGCACTTTTCACTTTCTTTTACTGTGGTTGCCATGCCTGAATGTGTTCTGTAAATCCTTAGCTCATGGAAGTCAAGGAAAACCAACCTTCCCAGCCACGGGACACTAAAATCGAGAAGTAGAAGCAGCAGCTGTGTGTGTTCATGTTGGAGGAAGGAAACTTGCATTATAGTGAAGCAACTGTGGGCGTGGGTAACACCAAGTTGTTACACATCAAGTTGCAGTCCCAACCAGCACTCTGTTGTGCATGGAGGGCTTGGTGATCCTCTGTCATCCACCCACTGTGGATGCCGACAGGCTTGGCCACCTCCTTTGTAACAGGGAAGTCTGTCCATACACCAGTGATGCTGCCACTGCTGTGCCCGTGCCCTTATCTTGAAGTGGAGCAGCAAGTTTTCATTGGAACATCCTTTTTTCTTGGCAGTGGAAATGATAAATAGAGTTCTTCCAGGAAAATCCTAAGATTTCCTATGCTAAGATTATCTATGCTGTTCCCTGTTTCCTTCTTGTTTTATCTCCAGTAAACACTGTTTTAATCAATACCTGATGGAGCTGAGGGCCTTTCTCACTTATGAATCCATTAAGCACACTTGCACTGGTGCACTACATCTGGTGTACCTGGCAGAGCCCCACTGAGAAATGGCTCTTTGGGAAAGGATAGCAAGGCAAGGATGGGGTGGGTGCCTGGCTATGGACGACACTTGTGCAGTCCTTGGGCTGAGCAACCACTGCATGACCTGGCAAACTGGGTAAGAGTAATCCAGGTGCCCCCTCCCAGCTGAAATATTAACCTTGTCTCCAAAAGGAAAAGGCAAGTGAAGGGTTGTGAAAAAACCCCGTCAGAATTTACATTCTAGTTGGTTGTTACTAACATGCTTTACGAAGAGTGCTGGGAAGTTCTGATCAGGCAGAGAGTTATGAAAGACTGAGATACAGTAAGAGCTGCCCTGGGTACACCAGCAACAAGAACTGACGAAAGAGCCAAGGGCTGCTCTGCTGGCAGGGGGCTACAGCAGGTACAAGGCTAATGCTGCGATCCTGCAACACGGAACCCCAAGTTTTGAACAAGCAACAGGGACCCTGGACAACCTCTCACAGTGCCTATGTGTGAAGTAACACCCAGAGAGAATTGCAGACCATGGCTGAAACTTACTGGCAAAAACCAGGGGAGAAGCTAGGGCCATGGCTCTAGAATAGAATTGCTGGTTTCAGTAATCGTGTCTTTTTTTTAACAAATTTGTAAGTAATAGAATGAATCTAGAAATCAGAATAGAAATAACATTAAAGGAAGAAGCCATAGACAAGTATTAGAAGATGCTCAGACCTGTCTGATAACCACCTTTATCAGCTCTAATCTAGTGAATCTAAGTTAATTCTGTACAATGCATGATCTTAACGTGCTAACACCTTTCTTTTAAGGGAAGAGATGATGGTGTCTATGCATAAACATCTCAACTGCTGATTTAAGGTAAAATGTAAACTTTGTTTATTATGGAGAAGATAGAAGGAGATGAGGAACTGGATGCATGGAGAGGGAGGTGTGTATTGTGTGCTCCTATGAAGGAAAATATTCCAGCTCTGTGAAAAAAGATAACGACAAAGTGAAAGCTGTTGTTAATCTTTTTTATAAAGCAGGTAACAGGAACCGAGTATCCCAAAAGCTTCTGGACTCTTACCAACTTAATGCCATTTCATCCTCCAAGACTTTCGCACAGGCTCCTACTGAGCTTTCATATCACCACCTATGAAATCTGTGTTCTCTCAGTGCATAATGTGGACGCTGGCTCCTAGTAAGCTCCCACCATTCGTAGGCAATGCCAAGATGCCCAAAGCGAGCCTGGCCCTTTACGGTCAGTAGTGGTCAATCGCATTCCCACAAGCTTTCATTTCATGGTATGTTGAATATGGGTTAGTAAATAAACCTTATCTTCCTTCTTTCTCAGGCTGACAGCTCTGCAAACAGGTGCCAGGCTAAGCTTAGCATGTCAGTTACTTTTGAGCCAGCCTAATGAGATACCCTGGAGAGCATTAAAGCTCTCCTTTCTAGAAAACTCAGTAAACAGGTTTGGGAAGTATTAGCACACACAGGAACACACAAAACAAATGTACAAGAAACACAGTAATGGTTTTGCAATTCTTGCGTTTAATTATTTCAGCATGTGGATTTTTCCTGCTACTCAGCCTTCCCCTTTCCATTGTAATCTTTTTTTTTTTTTTAGGAAACTTGCATAAACAAACACTTTTCCTAGACCAGTACATAAACCAGACACAGATGCACAAGTTTGTATTTGCAGTTTTCTTAAGCCTTGGTTTCTTAACGTCTTAAGAGAGAAAGTGCATTAAAAAACTATTACACAATCAGATCAAATATCTGATGGTGAGATACACTGAGATCAGAGGACTCTGTGATGGAAGAACATGACAGTAAACCATAACAGGAACTACACTTCAGTCTAACCTGTTCAGGAAGTCAGTTATAGAAGATCAGCCTCTCAAAGAATGTGTTGACTGCACCGTGCTGTCGAAACAGCACAGAAGAAAAGTCTGCTTTTTACTGTTTCATTCTTGGCAGAATTGAGACCTTTGGGAAGAAATAAAAAAAACCCCAAAACAACAAAACCAAACCTGAACCCAAGACAGATACGCAATTCATTCATTTCTCTCCCTTTAGCTCATGAAAACTTGAGACTATTCAGCCCTTTGTCTCAAGAAGTGAGCAAAAGAAAGACTAGAAAAGGCTAGAACAAGACATACTTGACAAAAGGCTATTTAAAAGAGACAAACATGAGGAGGCACGAGGTAAAGAACAGTTACAGAAGCATGGGAATAAAATGACACTGTAAAAGCATTACACGTATACACACTCAGTAGCAAGATCCTTCTCTGCATCTCAAAAGATTTGACAACAAAGCACAAATCCAATTAAGGCCAGCATAGATATCATGCATTATCTACTAAGCTTCAAAATACCGAATTATCTTGGGTTCTTGATATAAAAGAACTCAAAACTCACTAGTTCAGAAACTTTGGAGAGAACAAAGCCTGTAGGTAGCCTGAATTCCTAAAACTGAAATAAATTTCAAGTAATTGTGCTAGTAGGAAATATCACATGATGTTATACAACAGGTTTTTTACCTGCCTCCAGGCTCTTCTAGCCCCATCGGTTTGGTATCACTACAGCAAATTTCAGGTTTGTGTGGACTAGTGGTAGACTGCTACAAACCTGTCATCAGTGAAGGAGAACTTGATATTCCACTGGCACCAGGGGCTGATGTCTGCATTAAAGCTGCTCGAAGAAGTTTGGAACACAGAGAAAGGAATTTCAGGGAAAGATGTTTTTGATTAAGCAGACACTAGTTTTTGTAATTTGCTGTTGAAGGACTCAAATGCAGATAGTTAATATAGCTTTAAGGTTCCACAAGCAAAAAAAGTCCAGTGCTCATATAAGGTCAGGTAAACAAGCAGCTACTGCAGGCAGAAGAGAAACCTTAATGTAATGACCTATGTCAATGCAAGTTACCCCATGACTTCTGTTTTGTTTTTGTTATTCCCACTCCCTCCCCATTTTAAGGGAAGCTGCTGGACTTGACTAGATGTGAATCAGTTCTACTCAAAATTTCTGAGGACACATGACCTGTGAGCTAGGCGCAAGTTACCCTACAAGAACTGCCATGCAATGTGCATGAGAAATCAGCGTTATGCAGGGTGGTGAGCACTTCCTACCACAACACCTACAATCCGTGGCAATGGATGCGTGTTAGCATGTTACAAAGTAATATTCCACAGTTAAAATGTAATTTTCCATAGGAAAAATGTTCCCTGTACCTAGGAGCAAATCTAGGAGTACAAATTAGGTGGTCTAAGCAGATGCAAACTACTATAGCCACAAACTATCAAAAAAATAAGAAATCTCAAACTAAAAACAAACAAACAAAAAAAAACAAACAAAAAATCTTAATTCCAAACAGTAGACAAGCCACCTATTGAAACAGGCTCTCAGGAAGAGTAAAACCCATGTTTAAAATATTACACACGTTACTATTCAGCCAAAAAATAAAACAAAATCAACCAACCAAAAAAAAAAAACCAACCAAAAAAAAAAAAAAAACCCACCAAAAAAAACCCAGCCAAATTTTACAAATAGGATACAAACAGATTTTCCCTTGCAATAAGGATATTGGATAAAAAGTTATGGAATACGCTGTGGTATGTTTATAAGGAGGTTTTTCTTCTCCCTCTGCCCAGTGCCTTCACTCCCACCAGCTCTTGCTTTCAGCTTGTTTTCAGTTTTTCCAGATGTGCTCTTTGTTAGAAGAGAACTTTCTTTTGTCCATACAGAATATGACACCCAAGAAGCAGGCAAGGAGAGAGGTCAAACTTCTTGCTGATCCACTTACTTGGTTGTCTATTTCTCATCGCTAAGCCAGATACAGATGCGATGTGAGTTCAAGAAGTTTCTATCTCAGAGGCCTCTTCTATGAAGTTAGCAACAGGACTGAGAAGCAAGAGTGGAAACAGTTTATACTCTCCATTGCCATCTTCTGAGAGGAGAGGTGGGTCACCCATTCCCAGAGCATCCAGAGGCTCAGCCTGGCTTGCTGCAGCTGCTAGCGGCAAGACAGTTCCACTACCTGACGGAGGATGAAGAACAGGTTTCTCCTCCAGGGGAGGCAATAGGAGATCTTTTGGGTCCTCTATCTTCCCTGCAGCTTCACCTGAAGGTAGTTCTTCGAATAATGAAAGCAGAGGATTGGCCCTGTACTGTATCAGCTGCATATCTGAAGGAAAACAAACAGTTTAGACTCCAGGCTCCTGTGTCATGTAAGTGACAAGGAAAGACAAGGAAAACGGGAGAGGCTGCTTCAAAGCTTGGTTCACTAGAGAAAAACCATACAGCTGAACTGTGACAGACTATATCCACAGCTGCAAGAGTGGAGCTAAGGCTCCTGAGTCTGTTAAGATCAATACCCGAAGTGAACTCCAAGCCCCCTACTTTATATGGCATGCAACGGCAGCACCGAAATAGCAAAATGAGTGCATTTCTGGGGGTCATAGCCAATATAGGAGATACTTCCACAAGGATGTTTGCAGTTCTGCTCCCTATTGTGACACTCTGTCACATATAAGAAAAAGGAAATGGTTAACACCAACATGGGGCATAGGATGGGGCCGCTTAAAACTGTGGCACAGCTTCATCGAGATCAGTGAAACATCCTAGTCTTCACAAAAGTTTTAAGCCCAGACCAAAGAGGAGACAAACTACACTACAGGCTACACAAATTCCATTTCAATACACAGTTTTGGAAGAGTTTGGAGCTGACACAGCTCTCCGTGTTCCTTCCTGCCCACCTTTGCTTCCTGCTGTTTCTCTCTCACTTGATCCCAGGTCTTCAGCGCTCTCTGCCAAGTTTGCAATCTGAACAAAATGGACAGAGAGTAAGACAGAACACTTAAAAATAACAAAAACAAATTCCAAGTCTTCACTGACTCGTTAACAAAATTAAAGGTGAAAGGAGGAGGGAAGAGAAATGGAACACTTGACCAATGAGCCCATTGTTGACATGAGGGCCAGCAAACTGGAGCTCTCAGAAGAGGGCATGGTCAAATACAGACAAACTTAACTTACTAAAGCCAAACAAGTTTCTGACTAGCAAATATTTATTTTAACTTCTAAACCAGAAGCTTTATTATTGTCTGTCTTGATGAAATAATGCTGTTAAACATGATTTCATAAATATAATTAAATCTTGCAAGCACTGCTTGAGCACAGCTGCATTTTACTTCAGTTGTAGTCTAAATTCTTATAACTGGGAAGTCCTAAGATTAAATATTATTATTATTAGATTAAATATTATTTCAGGACTACAAAATAAATGATACTTGGAGGTTGGTGGTTTTTTTTTTTTTTTAACATGAGTCAGTTTTAGGAACTGGACCAAGAGAAGTAAATTTACACTGAACTTTTGTACGTCCTCTGAGGAAATTCCATACAGCCATGCTTAGAACAAATACAGTATATTGCATTATATTTTTCATTTAGTGCTTTTCATTCAGGCTTCAGGCAGACTGAAGACACAATCTCATCTGAACTATAACCCCAGATCTAGTTATTACTTGGCTAGAAGACACCATGGGAATCCCTGAGGCTAGAAGAAGTAAGCTGAGAAACTGTTCTTGACACACTTTGATCAAAAAAAGAGATGATTTTCTAGCCTTCTCATTCTAAACAGAAGGTATAGAAGTAATAGACAAGAATAAAAAAATCCTCAATATAGGCAGCTAATTCAACACACACCAGTTTGTTTCCCTCTTCCTTACTTTCCCAGGTGTATTCAGAAAGCAAAGAACATGTTATTTAAAGCAAAGTGGCAGTTTAAACCATCCCACTGACTGTATTACTGCAGCTAGGAACATAACATTTGAAATTATCTTGAGAACCCACTTAAATTCATATACGTCAACTGAATTCATATATGCAACTGAAAACATTGTCAGCAGGACAAGATAAAATGGCAGTTTCATGCCATCCTATTAATCCAGTTCCTATCCTCAAACTGCATCAGTGAAAATTTAGCTCTCAACATCATATTAACCCTCCCCATCACAGAAGCAAATCTTACTCTTACATTTTCCATACCAGGGGAAGTTTCCATCAAGTTCATATCCAGAGCTGGCAGCTCAGGATTAAGTGTCTGAAAATAAAAACAGACCATGCGTCATATAATAAGGCCCTTAAAACAAAATTTCAGAGAGGTCCTGAAATGAAAGCAGGATAAAGAGCACACCACTCCCTCTGCTGAAGCACAGGGGAGGTGGCTCCTCCACAGGCTGACAGCAATATCCTTTTATCCTGTGGTGGTAAACTAAAGTCACAGGAGAAGAGAAAGACACCCTGTTTCCCAGTGATTCCAGGTATATGGCTGATTTTCATTCCGTATCATAATACATAACCACATATTAGAATGTGATGATAAGTGACAAAGGCTTGAGAAGAAGTGTGTCCAATTTTTTTTAACCCCCCCCCCCGAGTTCTGTGTAACAGAAATACTGTATGAACTGAAAAAGGCTCTCAATGTTACCCTGGTACAATGTTAAGACTCCTAAATTGCCTATATCTCATTCTATTCACAACCATTTGCTTTTCAGAACTTTCCTCCCTCTTGCCCATTACTACATGGAAAAACAGTAAAATTTCATGATGCCTCCTTATCAGTACTTTTCAGAACTCATAAAAATTGCAAAGACACTCACATCACTGAAAGCTTCAGAACCAAAGTTATACTGCTTCCCCGATAACATTGCTTGAAGCTCTTCAAGGCTGGCATCAATACAATTAAGAAAATCCTGAATTTCTTCTCTAAAAAGACAGAAAACATATAGTACTGTAATAAACAGTCGGCAGTTAGGACCTTCTTGTGCACCACAGGCAGGTTGTTCACATTCCAGAATAGCTTATTGCCAAACTAATGATACCACATTCCTGTATCACTTTTCACAGTTCAACTCTTCGAAGGACACGTACGAAGACTATCTGAACTGCAAGTACAATAACAGCTATCATATCAAAAAGCAGTTCCTAATTCCATACCTACTTCCTCCTTTATTTTAATATCTTTTGAATGTTCTTGGGTCCCAGCCTATAGACCAACATCTGTTTAAAATAAGGTCCAATGGCTTTCAGCTGGGGACAATAACGATAAGCAAAGAGCTGGAAATAATCTCTGAAGGATCTGAAGGAACACTACCAATTTTCCTATTCTGAAACATCAGATTGTTGCCAAATTGTATGCATTTGCAAAGACAGGGCAGGATTCAAGGGACAATGAATGAAGTGGAAAGGCAGCTGCATGCACAGCACCAGTTCTGAACTTCTCACTGGCTGCAAGCTACCTCCTGCACTGGAATACTCAGCTACCAGCAGCAGACAGTTCCAAGGCATCACCCCATGCTGCAGTGCCAGTGAGATGAGACATTAGAGGGCCTTCAGGTCACAGCAAGTGCAGTGACACATCACCTCAGCACTTCCTACTTTAAGTTAACCATAGCAGTAGAACTGTCAGGAGAAAGAACTAATGTTTGTTCCTTGATACAGCTCACCCTGCAGTTACACAAATGACAGCACTGATAAAGCTCAGGAGCTGTGCAGAACTGGGAACTGCTTAAACCACAGTGCTGCTGCATGTGAAACCACAGCCTGCATTTTGATCCCAGGGGTAAATCTGATCTGACAATGCACAAGGCAAATGAACCTTTGCAAAAACGAGGGGCAAGGAAAGTGAAACATCAGACTGTCACCAATACAAATCCATATCCAGTTCTCAGAGACAAAGCAGCACGCGGTGCTCTCCTGAAATCACTTCTCTTGATCGCTGTCTGGCAGCACTTGGCAGTGCCAGTAGTTGGCAATATGAGGGCTGGTGTGACAGGCTGACACAGAAGTCAGGCACACTCATTATCAGTGTCATGACAGATGAACTTGCCCTGCTTTTAGTGTGCAACGCTAACACTTGTCTTTTTAAAGACCTACTAACAAAGGAGCAAACAATTCAGTTCAACGACATTTAAAGGGCTAAATCACTATGTTCTGCTGAACACATCCTCTGGAACTTTGACAAGATCCACAAGATGGTAACAGCGTACCGGTTTCCAGAAACAAGTTAATACCTGTCCAGCAAAGGATCGTTTTGGTTTCCAGCATTATTCTCATTTAAGATGGAGTCAATCACTGACACAGGGTCTTCTGGAGTATTAGGTTGTGCAGTATGGAGTTCCACAGCAACATTTCCTATTTCACTGGGTTTGTTGACGTCACTTATATGAACTGGTGGGATAGGTTCTGCAGCCAAATTTAACACGTTTGGCTGTGATACTTGACAAATAGGTAAGCCAGGATCCACAGCTGCCTGTGTCTCTCTAAAATATGACCGAAAGAGAAACAACACACAGCAGAAATCATCAGCTGGATCTCAGTTTGTTTATTAGTAACTTATATACATTTTGGATTCTTTATTAGTAATCAATATATGCATTCAGGTCCCTATTCAGTTGAAAAGTTAGTATGTGCTTATTTGTTGAATAGACAGAAAAGCATCGGAAAATTAAACTTCAAGTGCAATCAGCTTGATAGGCCTTCAGGCACTCCTGAAGAGACATGAGCTCTTAAAAACCTTTGCTCACCATGACCAATGCTACATGCTGTAAAAAAGACAGCCTACCAACAGACCCGTCATGCACAAATGGAGTAAAAATTCAGAGGCTGTTTCCCAGAATTCATATGGATCACTTACACCAACATAACTACTTAGTAGCAACCTAAGCATAAATGCTTCCACATCCTTTAAACGTACCTGGCTCTGCCACTTGTGTGTGCCACAGCAGGGAGACCACTGGTGGCATTTTCGAGGGTATCAGTGATATCCCGAATGATGAGACCTGTACCATTTCCATCCTCATCATCTGCATTATGTTCAGAAAAAGCCATCTGCAGGATACAGCAAAGAGAATGAGCAGAATGAATAAAATCAAAAGGTCTTTAAGGTTGTGGGTTTTTTTTTCTTTCTTTCTTTTTGCACCTTCTCTATCCTGCTCAGATTTCACCTTTTACTGGTTGCACTGACTTCCATGATAGCAATGCTTTAAAGCTGCCCATTTCAAAATGAAGTGCATTTGACTGTAAGACTAGGGTATTAAGAGTTGCAAGGAAGACTTCGAGACCACTGTGTATCATCCTGTTCCCTGGGAAGACTTACTGCTTGGCCACTCTCAACAGGTATGCGGACATACTGACGACTGTATTTGGAAGGTGAAGCACCTGCAGCATCTGTTAGAGACCTGAGACAAAACACGGCTTTAGTATGTAGTCCCACAGTAAAAAGCTGTAGCAATGCCAAATACGTGCAGTAATGGTAAGAACAATCATTTTTCCACTTCTAAGAAAACTGGCCTTTGGAGATGTTTTTTACCAGGTCTACTGCAGCCAGGCTACACTCTACACATGCTTTTTGTTGTGACATTTTGAAAGAGTTACTATTTTTGATAACTGTGCCCTTCAAAATGTAAGATGTATAATCTCTTCCCATCCATTTCTTTAGTGATAAAGAAGTAGAAATCTTAATTTCATGCTTTATGCAAATTTGAATATTATCCCTTTAATTCATATCTGACACTGATTTGTGAACTATCCAGTAATTACCTTTTTCTTTTGACCCCAACAATATAATTTCCTCGCATCAAACTTAGTATAAACTGAAGAATCTAAAAAGGAAAAACATAAGAACAAAAACCAGGTGGTCAGCACAGCAATCCTAACGTTAACTTAATAATTCAGATTTTACTACAAAATTATGTAGTTATGTGATTGAAATTAGTAGGTAAATTAAAAATCCATTTGTGTTTGTGTCTTAAAAACCAAAATGATAGTTACCAATGGCATTGAAAAAATATCCCATTTGGATAGTTTTTGGGTTTTTTTCCTAAATGTAATATAACACCACAAATCACTAGAGGATTCCAGACCAGAAAGAGCTGAGGGATAAACCAGAGAAAATTTGTTCCAGTGCAGAAGTTCCTATACTTTCTGGGTTCCAAGATGACTTCTTGAATGGGCTAAGTTTGTCTTGGCCCAAGATCTTTCACAGACTCCATTCCACATGCCTGTAATCTCTTGTTTTAGGCTCCTGTTACCATGCGCTGCCTCCAGCCTCAAGTTTACCCCAGGTCAGCTTGATTTACTCTCCAAACAAAAAACATTGAGATTTCAAACACAATGAAATCCTTTTTACTACAACTTTTCCTTAATGTTCTGCTCGTGGTTTTTTGCTGTGCTACTTCTGGGACACTCAGGAACTGTGAACATTTTCTTTATGCTGTATTAATATAGCCTGTTCAGCTCTGTGTCATTTGTCATTCTACATAAGCAAAGAATGCCATGAAGTATCACAGAGGCAGGAATAAGGATGGTAGCACTGAAGATGCTGCAATGGTACCTTAGACAGCAGCTTCTGTTGTTGACTGTGCTTCTGCCTTAGAACTGCCACTTCTTTCCACAGGGCCTTATTTTCTCTGCAATGCAGAATAAATCAGAAGACATAGGATGAACAGAGTTTACTTTATATGCTCTAGTTTTACAGCTTTCAAACTTTCACAGTACCTAGCAGGACCAATGTCAACATTCCCTCTGTGGATAACTAACAGTTAATCTGATCCACTAGTATAAACTCTGTGTTAAATTAGCTCAATTTTCCATCAGGCAGGACCAAACTCTCACTAGTAAGGACATTCTTAACCTTTTCTGCTCCATCAATAATCTTGATCTGCAGTATTCCCTCAAAGCCTTAAAACCTTAGAATAAATCTTAGTGTTTGGAAACAGGCTGAATGTAACAGAAACCACCTGAGAACAGTTTCAGAGTTTGTCTTAAAGGGTTTGGTTGGTTGTTTTGAAGGAACAGAGGGAGTGAAGTGAAGGTATCTCCTGAACTTTAGTTGACGCCTGCTTGCATATCAATGACCTGAATGAATTATGAGTGCCTATCCAAAAAGAATCTGATGGGAACGTGCAAAGTCCACTTCCAATTAGAAAGAAAACCAAAGACTAATTCTCCCTCGCCTCATCTAATCCTGGGTTGGTTTTTTTTGTTTAGAAAAGTAAATACTTTGATCGTCCTAAAAAACAGGTGATGGCAACCAAAATAAAATCTCAAGACAGTCAAAAAACTCCCAGTCTTCATCTCTGGTCTGTAACTGAATTATAAAATGAAGCAATGTACAGAATGTTGTGTGGGATGAAATGGGGATTCTTAGAAAAAAAATATAGCTTCACCCGTTTCCAGTTCAAATGAAATCCACATTTAGAGCCAAGCTGCATTAGATCTAAGCAACACTCAATATGTAAGTGCTTCTGAAACAGACGAGTCTACCTCTTCATGTTAGCCAGTCTGACATCCATGTTGTTCTGTTGCTCTCTCATTTCTTGGACTTCAGAGAGTACTTTGTGCAAATCCTCCGCACAGACCTTGAGATCCTCAGTTCTTACTGCAGATACCTAAAACAGGACCAGGTTACGCATGCTTTACTATGAACAGTGCTTTGCATACTCCCTTCTACAGGAACAGTGTAGCTAGTCTGTAAACTCCATTAAAGGTTAGGTAATCCTTAATTCTTATGCACCACAAACCACGGCAGCTGCTGTAGATGACATTTATTAGGACAGTCCACACTGTACGGAAAAACCAAGTTGTCAATGAAAACATGAGATTAACACTTCCTATGTGTAGACAGGGGATTCATCATTGTCATTCACAATAAAAACCTACCACTGACTGAAAATGGCCTTCCCTAGGGTGTTTGCTGTGACAGATCTGGTGACAGCTTGCCCACTAGTGTCAAAAAGTAATGCACCAGCCAAAAACAAAACAGAATTCATAGTGGAGTAAGAACAAGATGATTCTTTTAGGTGCAGGTAAATCTGCCAGCACAGGAGTAATGAATTTCCATGAACTTGCTGGCAAGAGGGAAAGGTGTCTAAATAGATGCATCCTACACAATTTGAAGATTCATCCCACGCCACCAGATTTGCAGATTCCCATATTGGTGTTTGCTTTATTACCTCTCTACTCAGTGACATTCCAAAATTATGGAGATTTGTCTCCAGAAAGTCAGATTCCACAGCAGAATCCATGAATGCCACCTCTTCAAACAATGGTAGAAGAGTCATCAGAAAGCAAAAAGCTCACCATCGCCCTACACGTCATACTCTAAATTCTCCAATTCCTTCAGCAGCTCTCTCTGTGGTGGTGGCACTGATGGCTAACACGCAGTACAGGATTTTGAAAAAGACAGGTCTGGTGCATTGCATATCTGAATGACAAGTCCAGGTTTTGTGGGCATTTTAAAAATCATCAAGGCAAACGCTGACTATAACTGAACCAAATGGAGTTGCATCAGACAACCACAAGATGGCCCTTCCTGCCTACAGTATGCTATGATACTTCTTACTATTCTACTGAATTCCAAGAGGGGGGTACGTGTGTGAAAGCATCTGGGACTGGCCTGCTAAAGTGCTAGATAACTTCCATGTAGATTGGTTCACAGATCCCTTTTTTTCAAAGGAGGATGGGATAGACAGAAACGGACCTATGGTGTTACAAAATATCCCATCACTTCATGATGAAACAGAACGTAATTGCTATGTAGTTACTCTACAGAAATAGCTGACTACATTCTTAACATAATCCTTGTTACAAAGGATAGACTGAATGGCCTGACAGTCCTCTCCATCTACATTTTTAGATGCTTCACTATTCTTTAGGGTAATACATTATGCTAAGGTACATTGAGCTGTATCCCAAATGAAATTCACGGCTGGCTGATTTCTCTTTAGCATACCACCTCTTCATGGAGAAAACACCCAAAAGATGCAGACAGATGGAAATGTCAAATGCAGTCAGCCTGCCCCCATAAAACAGCCAAACCAAAACATTCTGCCCAAGTGTGAGGAATTCTCTCTTCAGAGTCCCAAACTAGATAGAAGGGTGCCAAGACTGAAGCAATCCAGCTGTTTTACTAACAGTAAAAGGGAGTAAATAAAGGAAGTCCTGCATTCAAACTTGCATTCCTGTTAGAAGCTTGAAATCCAGTTTATAGCAAGTACTGAAATATGGCTCCATTCCAGACAGTAAAAGAACAAGAAAATTAATGGATGTTTTGCAAAAAATCACTGACATTTCCTGTTCAACAAAGAGTATGTTCCACCAACCTACTCAATAGTTTCATGTGAATGTCCTTGGCAGTAACAAGAGCTTTTGTCTTTTCATCTAGAATACTCCACCCAGTGCAACACCCCTGGGATACATGGTGCCATACAGAACATCATCAACTGACAGCCCCAACATACCAGCAAGCAAGGTGTGCAAGCCAAGACAAGTTAGTGATTACAGCATCTGGGAAGAGCACAGGCCTGAGTCAGAGAAGCAACTGTACAATTATATTTAATCCATTGTGATTCTGAGCAGAGACAGCTCAGTGAAGAATCAATCAAAACACAATTGTGACTCTCAAGCGTATCCTCTGCTTTTATTAACTTGGGCAATGTAGCTACCATATTATGACATTCTAAAGAAAAGATTCTGCAGTTCAAATGTCAACGTGATGTATCATGATACTCTCTTTCTCTGGCAGGGAGGATATTATGGGCTCTAAAGTGCCAACAGAGGATAAATATCTGTGCAGGAACAGGTCAGACAAGGCCTGAATGTACAAGAGAAAACTGGAAAGTGCTAATAAAGGTGTAGCTTAGTGGCAAATAGTTTTGGAGGAATAATGCAATTTAAGCAAATTCACCCAAATGAACTGATTACTGATGCCCTTGCTAACTTTCAATAAGAAGCACCAGAGTTGTATTTTCTTTTACTTCTGTCACTTTGCGACTCTTTCCAGCTCTGCTATGATGGCAGAATTGAAGACCATGCTAAGCTGTAACTGCGTATACAAATTCTATGTGAAAAAGGGGCTCTAGCTTCACAGCTATGAGATGTGGCACTACTCGAGAGCACTGCCAAACAGCAGGGTGTGTTTTGTCTAAGAGCTGGCATAAAGAGTGCAAGCCAAGCATTAGCCTGGCATTCAGGAGGGAGTTACAAAGTCTTGCATCATGATGCACAACCTTGGTTCCCATGGAATTTGTTGGCTGGAAAGTATTTGAAGCCCCCAGACATGCTCTTGAAAAGCTACATTTCATAACAAAGTGAAGTAAATACATGCTTAGACTGTACCTTGCGCTTGATGTTTTCAAGTAAATGTGCCTTCCCTTGCTTGAAGAAAGGGTGCTGGAACTCAATGACTGAGCTTTTCTCTGCTGTAATCATACCATTCTCCAGGGCAATCACCTTCCTGAAACCATCTGTGGATACATATTATCAAAGTCATTTCTTTCAGTGCAAAGCTGACTTACAGCATATAGCTGAAGAAAACCCCAAGGCTACTGAAACGCCTAAAGCCCTACAGTCAGTGGGAACAGTCAAAGTAGCTTTTCCTTGGTGCTCAATGATTTGACTGCTCCAGTCTTCACAGCTAGAGAGAATGTCTACAATACCATCAAATAGCCTTACAGGTTGTATGAACAGCATGCATGACCACACATCAAAACAAATGCTGTCATGTGCCACCACCAGGGTCTACAGAATAAAGTAAGAAGGAGAAACCAGTTCTCAGCTATGCAACACACGCACACAGAGTACTTTCTCCATACCAGACTGCCTGCATGAAATAAGACATTGCCAGCTATATTCCCATCACCGCAACCCTGCTTTGAGTACCAAAGGGTAGACACAAAATACAGTTGACAGACCAATTTGTATCTCTTCTCATTCAAGGTTTTAACATAGTTAATGTATTTCAGTTTCACCGTGACCCAACAGCACTACCATTAGAAAACTTTACTTGAAGCTAGAATAGGTCCAGCAGGAAAAGGAGGCTGCCATCACATTGCATGTATTCATAGGAATATTTGCATTTTAGCATTTAGCCTTGCTGCGAGGCAACTGTCAGCTGTTTGTTTGCATTATCCTTTGACACTTAAATGATGAAGTCTTAACAGTTGACACAAACAGCAGCATCCACCTTGTGTCAAGAGGCTAAAGGTATGCTTTCTCTCTCATGCCAGCCAAGATCTAAGCAGGCATCAGTTAGCGAGACCATGCAAACCTACTGGGGAAGGACAGAGAGCTTCTGGCCCTTACTCTGCATGGGATATCTAAGTAAGATGGCCATCTTCTATGCAGTTTGTACCTTCACTCAGCCCATAAGCTATTTGCTGCATAACAATTATTTCTGCTGTGTGGCAGCCCTGTACATTGTACTGTATCTTTGAATCACCTCCTCCCTCAATCTCCTTGCCTGTACAAGTTGTACACGTGTTATGGGATGCTACATGATGCTCAGAAGTACAGCACAGAAAACATAATGAGAAACTCAGTCCAGCTTGATCTACCAGCATCACTAATCTTGTTTCAACACAGCAATGCAGGCAACAGCACGATCTAGGCAATTTTTTTTCCCCATATACTAGATGCATGGATGTAGATACAGCCTCTGTTCCTCTAGGTATGCATAAGTTTGCTGTTACCATTAACATTACCACTGAAGACCAGAAAATTCTACCCAAGCTTTAAGTACCACCACATGAAACAGTATTTTTATGGTCAATGCTCAAAACACAGAAAGTAAAGACTAAGCCAAGCTCTATTGTTGTTCTTTTTCCTTTGTTCTTCAAAGCAAACTTAAGACCAGAACTCAGGTTTTCAGGGACCTGCCAAATCAATTGGTTTGTTTAAAGAATTTCAAATCAATGCCACGTAGCAATGAACTTAGCAGAAAGAAAACATAAGAACAGCTGATGCTTACACATGTTAAGCTGTCGTATGAAGCTGGAGATATTGTTGTGTTTGAAGTACTTCGGGAGTAGCTCCTTGGCAAATCTCTGCTCATCCAGAATGCAGAAATTCTCACCATTCTAGGAAATAAGAAGAAGTAACAGAGAACAGGCACATTTTTTCTGTGGTGTTGTTTGCAGTCAAGACCATAAAACAACAGGGATGGCAGGGCAAAGCAGAACAGTCTGTGTGCGCAGCTCTGAGTACTTGGGACTGTACTAAGAAGTCTGGGTCCAAAAAGAGTTACGTGGGATATTTCTACTGAATTGGGCATTTTTAAAGCCCTGAAGGTTTGTCTTAGGCCATAGAAAAATTGTTCTAAAACCCCGTGTATTTGTCACTCTCTGTCCACAGGAAACATAACTATTACTCCAGCACAATGGAAGGCATGTCACTAGAGGGCTTTTATCTCCCTCGGTCACTTTGACAACTCCTGGCAAGATTCTTCCACTGTAAGGACTATGTCACCACTAAAAATAACCAAGGAGCGTTGCCGAGCTACTGAAAGTTCAGACCACACAGCCCAGCGGTGAGGAAGGGTAACTGCGACACAAGCAGCTTCAGATTTAGCCTGTCCTCAAGTTCAAACTTCCTCCAACCCGGCAGGTCTCTTATGTCAGTTTTATACTGGTTACAAAGAGAGCAAAAATGTTTCTTTTCGTCTTTGCCTTTGCACTGGCTGAATCTCCGGGGAAAAACAAGCGGAGAAAACCCAAGGGATGTAGAAGTGATGGGAAAGAAATTACCGCCGCGCCCGTGCCAGCTCTCAGCCGTGCGGTGCCCGAAGGCGCCCGCGCCACAGCGGCCCAACCTTCCCATGGCAGGAAAGGAAAATTACAAGTTAATTACTCCTTAAAGCGCATTTTCCACGGAATGTCACCGCTCTGCGCTGGGGACGGGC